AGTCGGTTAAGTGTCCGACTCTTGATTTCAGCTCAGGTCATGATCTCATAGTTTGTGAGTTCGAGCCCCGCATCAGGCTCCACGCTGACCGTGCAGAGCCTGCTTGGGATTCTCTCTTTCTCTCTGCCCCTCCCCAACTTGTGCTCACGCTCTTTCTCAAAAATAAAATAAATAAACCTAAAAAAAAGAAAGAAAGAGAAACTCCTTATGTGCTGATTAGAAAAACCTCCAGAGTGAACGGTTAAGTGGAATTTAAAAAAAGCAAAGTGGAGAATTGGCCTTGGCGGTGAGAGGAAGAGAGACTTTGCACTCTATCTGCTGAGTGGTGTAGTGCAGGGGGCTGTTACCTGGGGCAGGGAGGGAGGGATGATGAATGAATGAGGAAGGTATGAATGTACATATGAATGAGGAAGGTATGAATGTACATATGAATGCGGGCTCTGGAATGGATATGTTGTCCAGTGCACAAAGCAAGCTGCTACAGGACAGGTATACCCTGAGATGATTGAGACGATATCATTCATGTAAAAAACGCCACCAGCATATCAAAAAAATATCTCCATACTTGCTTATAGGTCGGTATGTAAATGCACAAGTTTTGGAAGGACCCAGACTAAACCGGCCACAGTAGCTCCTGGCCTCCTGGGAGGCCCAAGAGAGGAAGGGATTTGGTAGAAAGGCAAGGGCATTTTCAATTTCAGTATTTTTATTTATTTTTATTTATTCATTTATTATTATTTCTTATTTTATTCTTTAACATTTATTTATTTTTGAGAAGAGAGAGACAGAGCACGAGCCGGGGAGGCGAGAGAAAGAGGGAGACACAGAATCTGAAACAGGCTCCAGGCTCTGAGCTGTCAGCACAGAGCCGGACGCGGGGCTCGAACTCACGGACCGCGAGATCATGACCTGAGCCCAAGTCGGAGGCTCCACCGACTGAGCCACCCAGGCGCCCCTCAAGTTCAGTATTTTAAAATAAAGATCCTGCACTCATTTATGGCTTGAGTATTTCAAAAATGAGTGTATTTCTTTTTTTGTTTTTTCAAATGTGAACTTTACTATTGCCTGATGACTCAAAGCTATCAGAATCACAGGTCCAGAGTTAGTCAACAATAGACAGTGCAGTTTCACCATCAGGTAAGAAGTAAGGCAAGGAGGGGATGTCTCTCAAAGGCGGTAAGATTCATTCATTCAGTTATGGAGGAAGCCACCCCTCCCCTCCGGGGCGGCGGGGGGGGGGGG